GACTTTTTGTGTCTTGGGGCATATGACAAAACCAGTTTCGTCCATATTCCAGATTCGGTCCGCGGTAAGTGAATGTTCTTCGATTATTTTATGAAGCTTTTCGAAGTGATCTTTAATAATAGTTGGATTGGCTCTCTGCGCACGTGCCTCTGACAAGGCCTGAGGTGTACGAAAAGACAATTCGGGATGGTCTCTCATAAAACGCATCCACCAGGCCTCGCCAGGTTCACCATTATTAAAAGGATGGTCACGATTGTTACTTTCTATAATCTTCATCACACAATGGTTTACACTAGATCGTGTAAGACCAAATCCTAATCTCTGCATATTCAAACAATAGCCCACTAACTGTTCTTCTTCATGGGTGCTTAAAATTGTTGAAGGGCCGGAACGGTTGGGCAAGCCATTCTTTTTAGCACGTCTTAAAGTCGTTTCAGCAACCCCATATCTTAATGCAGCTTCCCGAGTGCTAAGTTTTCCAGGGCTAGCAAGAGCCTTAAGAGCAGACTCAATAGCATGTATATGCGCAGTTCGATTTTGTTGAGGTTTTGATTTCGGTATAGTATGTTTGGTTACGGTTTTAGGCTTAGACACGATTTTGGATTTAGATGCATTTTTGGATTTAGATGCATTTTTGGATTTAGATGCAATTTTGGATTTAGATATAACTTTGGATTTAGATGTAACTTTGGATTTAGACGTAGCTTTGGGTTTGAACGCAGTTTTGGAGCTCATTTTTTTTTTTTTTCTTTTTTTTTTGTTTTGGTTTTATTAATTTTATTAATTTAACTTTTTTTTTTTTTAATTACAAATTTAGGGTATTTATATATTTCGTACATGATTGTATACGATTATAATTTTATTTGTTGCAATCATGATCATGATTGTGATATATTCTTTATTTAAAAGGATTATTTCGTTTGTTTTAATCACAATCATGATTATGATCGTGATATATATCGTGATTGTTTTACTTTATATACCATCTTTTCTATATAATTATGGTCGGGATCATTTATTCTTGTAATAATGATCATGATTGCAACAAATAAAATTATAATCGTATATAAAAACAATCGTGATTATAATTACAAGAATAAATGATCACGACCATAATTATATAGAACAAAAAGAGTATATGAAGTAAAACAATCATGATTTGATTCTTCATTTAAAATTAATTTCGTTTGTCTCAATCACGATTGCTTTACTTCATATACTCTTTTGTTCTATATAACTATGATCACTATCAATTAATGCACAACTCTATCAATGGCTTAGTTTGCTACAAAAATAGCAAATTTTATATTCATACTAGAACAATTATAGTAATTTGCTAAAATAGTGCTGTTTGATATTTTGCACTATTTTAGATGGCAATTGTTTAAGTAATTACGCGCATATAAAACGATTCAGCAATTGTTCGTGAGCAAAAAAGTTGCATTTAGAAAATGATCTTTTTGTTATTTAACAAAAGGACATATAACAAACACGATTAGCGCCTAGAGTTTTTTTTTTGCAATAAAAGAGTGAATTTCGATATAAATCAATAAAATTTTATATTCCAACAAAATAATTCATAAAAAAGTTTTTTTTTTACACTTAAAACTGAAATATGGAATATGTTCATGAGCACGATAATGTTATACACGAAATTGAAGCGAATGATCCATTTTTGAAATTATGTAACGATTTAATGAAAAAAGTTTATGCCCCGGGAGAATTTAAAGACCGGATAAAATATGTGATTCCAATCCTATACGAACGCTTACATACTACTATGCGATATTTACTGAAAATAATTATTACAGATGCAAACATCAAGTCTATTAATAATTATAGTGCTTGTGCTAGAGAATTTGATCGAATTACGCGGTTTCTCAGATTTTTTGATGAATTGATTCATGATTACGAATTACTTTTAAAGATGGATTACATGACTTCCATATATGAAAACTTCCGTAAGGCTGGAAAGTACGAAGACAGTTTTGATAAAAAATCCAAGTATCGATATACCATTAAGGGCCTTGAAATGTGTGAATTCGCGGATTTATTTTTTACAAGAGAAGATTATAACTCATTTTTTAAAAAGTTTTATGATGATTGTAATTCGCATAGAAAAAAAAGGATTAACTTGTATACAAATGATATTCGCCACTTTGACACACAATCATTAAGGAATTTAAATTCTGTAAATTACCAATAATAATTCTTCCAAAAGTTCGGAATTCTTAGAATTGAGTTTTAGTTGTTTTAGTAATAATCCGGACTTTTCTAAAATTTGTATTAAACAACAACCCATTAAATTTTAAACGATATAAATCAAGAACCTGTTAGAAATCTTGATAATCAAGGTGTTTTGGAAATTTTCTCATTTATCCCACATTCTTTTAAACCGAATTTTTTGTCTTCGCCAAGAGATGAAAATCATTTAAAGACAGATAATGAATTATTTTTGAACGAAAATTGATCATGCCAAAGAATAGAATTGATATTTTGCGGCCCACAAGTGCGCACATATTTATATAAGGTATAAAATTACTTCATTAAAAGGTTATCGTTATCGCTTTTCTTATTGGTTGAGTTATCACGTGTAAGTGATTTTTTGGGTTAGTTTGATAATCATTAACAAAATTTACGAATTTCTAGTAGAATTTTACATCTTTCTTGTGTTCTATCGATTCAAATAACCCGATTTTTATATCATTTGATTCGTCTTGATAAGACGAATCGAATGAACCTAAAATTATTCGATTCGGATCAGTGGATCGCAAGATATCGTCGAAAAACATAAGTGCGCCACAATACCCCCCGCGCCATAATACCCATGGTTCCCTTA